CCCATCCAAAAAGAGAGAGTGGATGAGCCCTGGGGAGGACAGTGAAGCTGAGGTGGAGGCCAAGCCCTCAGATTTAGGGGAAGAAATTGGTGGGGCTGGTATGACCCCTATAGCAACTTCATCAGGGGCCCAGGATATCCTTGACTCTGGGAGGGCCCCATCTGAAGATACCCCTCATGAATCCAGCCCTGCTTGTCATGCCAATGGGGACAGGGTGAAATATTTAAAGTCCCTTTGCATCATGCCCAGGTACCAGGAACTTGTTGAGCTTGTAGATGGCTTGCCAGAGACAGTAAGTGATAAACTTTCTTCAAATACCAGGTTAACAAACATTTTGTACAGGAACCTGATGCTGGACCAGTCAACCTGCCTGTCTGGGCATCTTTGGCCTGGAGTGCCCAGTATTTGCCCCAGGAGATGCATGGCAATGGGGATTCCTTCTGGAAGGCACTGTATCAATTGCAAAGTGAAAAGTTTGCATCCACCCAGAAAGGTCTTACCATTGTACTGGGATTTGGTTTGTTGTGGAGGGAGTGCAAAAGAGCACAGGACATAGAATCAGATGACCCTGAAGCTGCTAATCTGGGCTTTTTGCTAGGCTCAGGTCTTGATATCCACAAGGGGGAAGATGTTATGGGTGCAGTGGGGCTAGTAGTTGCAGGACTGCAGCAGAATTCTGGTGGCTCAAGCAGAGGGATTGGTGCACAGGAAACAACTGGGGTCAGTGCAGGGGATTCCTGTCCCATCCAGGGGGGTGGCATGAAGGAATCCTGGAATACAAGAAAGGATGTGAGGAAAAGAAAAAGGGGAGGCAGTGGGGATGTTGATCAGAGGATGGCAAAGGAGGGTGAAGAGGCAAGCAAGAAATCAACTAGAGCTCGTCAACCAACCAAGAGAGCTCTGGGTCTTGGTCTATAAATAAACTGTAGATGGTGTGAATCAGTGTGAATCAAAAGGATCCCTATATATGGCTACCCATGCTCATTGCAAGTTTCAAACCCTGTGAGATCACTGACATCACCTGGAGGTGAAGAATGGCCATGGATTCAGGGGGTAAGGCCACCCCCCAGTGAGGTTGGCCAACACTGGTCTCAGGGGGTATGTCCATCTGGAAGTGTCATCAGAGTCAATACTTCTGGTAACATCTAAATTGACAAGCAATTGATTATGCCAAGGGAATTTTCAGGGTTTGGCCAACCCTACTTCCAGGTGGTGAGGTCTGTGTCCATCCCCCAGTGAAATTGGCCGACACCACTTCCAGGGTGTGGGTCCATCCCCCAGTGAGGTTGGCTGACACCACTTCCAGGGTGTGGTTCCATCCCCCAGTGAGGTCAGCCAACACCACTTCCAGGGTGTGGGTCCATCCCCCAGTGAGGTCGGCTGACACCACTTCCAGGGTGCAGGTCCATCCCCCAGTGAGGTCAGCTGACACCACTTCCAGGGTGCAGGTCCATCCCCCAGTGAGGTCGGCTGACACCACTTCCAGGGTGTGGGTCCATCCCCCAGTGAGGTCGGCCAACACCACTTCCAGGGTGTGGGTCCATCCCCCAGTGAGGTCGGCCAACACCACTTCCAGGGTGTGAGTCCATCCCCCAGTGAGGTTCGCTGACCTCCCTCCAACATGTTGGCCTATCCACCATCAGGGTCTATAGGCCGATGTCGGTTAGTCCCACTTTCAGGACCGAATGTGCATGTTGGATGACCCACTTTCTGGATTACATGTGACTGAAGGGTCTGTACCACATTTGTGCTCAAGCTCAATATTCAACCCCACAATGCCCTAAAACATGTGTCTTCATGGGTAGATGATTAGAGGCCTGTGACACCACCCATGGTGCTACAACCCCATATAACATACATCTTTGTACGCAGAAGATTAGAGATCCAGATGGCAGATTACACAAGCTGTGCAGCCACAGCAAATCCTCAATATGCATCTGTGCCAGTGTCAATAAGATCCCACCAAGCTTCAGTTGCACCATCCATCCTTTCCAGCTGCTGATCCTTGTTGCACAAGTGCTCACAGGGGTGTTGTGTAAATAGTCGTTCATCAAAGTCTCTTAGCAGTCAAATGTTCTCCTGACCATGACTACAGGAGAGAGCAACATAGGCATTGAAGGGGGTGATTTTGCCTGTGGGGGGGAACCAATGTCAACAATGCAGTACTTGATTGTCTGCGCTTGTGCATGGTAATCAGTGAAAGTGAATGCAGGCATGATAGGGCATTGGATCTGTGTCACCATACACTTGCTGCCAGAAGTCATCATGATGGTGAAAGTTCTTGAAAGAGGCATGATGGGCAGTACTCCCAATGGCAGACCTGGGAGGGACCCTGCCTTGGTGCGCATCATTTCTAACAGGACAAAAGCAGGTGGATACTGCAACACAATCAGATGTGATGGAGAAGGTTGCACACATTCTCTGGGGTTGAGGACAATGTCCACAATATGGCCTTGTGCACCATTTGCCATGTCTAGGTCTGTTGAGATGTTAAAGGTGACCATCACCTCCATTCTGATGGCAAGCTCAATTTTGTCAGACAGCCCAGCATGTTCCTGCCTGTTTTGTGCATGGCCAGTCTTCGGTTTAGTAGCCACAGCAAATTTCTTGGGCAATGACAGTGGATGCCCAGCTATGGAATCCCATGCAGGGCAAATGACCAGATAGGACCCAAGGTCCCCTGACTGAGATTGAGTGCACATCAAATTCCAATGCATATGCACAGCATGTCAAGGTGTGACCAGCACAGCATTTCTCCAAGGTGCTCACAAGAAGTCAGTTGCCCAACAATGGGGGTCAGAGAGCACCAGCCCTCACAGCATTGACAGGTGATGGTCCTTACAGTTACTGTGACACACATGATGCAAGAGATCCATCCATCTGGCATCAGTCACTCACACTTGAGTCTTGAGTTGTACAACAATGTCAAACTGTTCAAAGATCTGTTGACCGATTACCTGATCCTCTGTATCCTTTGCAAGATTGCAAGGCCAGTAAAGAGGTGCAGATGTTTTGGAGGCCATGGGAGGAAATTGATGGAAATCCCCTACAAGGATGACATTCAACCTGCCAAATGGCTCCTCAGATGCAATGCCCATACATGCCAACCTTGCCTGACAGATGATATTCAAAAGTTTGGAAAGGAACTCCTGGGAAACCATGGAGATTTTGTCAATGATCAGATAGTGCTTATCCCACCAATACAACTCCAATGCTTTCAGAGTCTGTGCCAATTGTTTACTGCCATTGAGCAGGACCATGCCTAAGGAGACAAAGACATCATCAGCAGAGAGCATAGTAGTGCAGATGAAAACACCATGAACCTATGAAGTGTAATGTCTTGTCATCAATGACAGACACTGCTATGCCTGTGTAGGCAGCCTTCACTAGCATGAAGTTCTCAGTGATGGTCTGAATTGTTTTTGATTTACCAATGCCACCCTCTCCAGGTATGATCATTTGCAGTTGATCTGGATTGCCTCCCATCAAGAACTGTTCTAGGTGCCAGTTTATGATGTCATATGCACAGCATTGGTCTCGCAATAGATTGTCCAGGTCAGCTGGCTGCAGTGCAGTCGATTCTTCAACAAGTTGGGCAAGTGAGTACATACCTCCACTATCACTGAGGAGCATTCCATCATTGGCATCCACACTGCCAACATCTCTCAGAGGATCAGATGGCAAGGTGAGTGATGTCACGCCAGGTTTGGCAACCATTGCCTCCATTTCCCTTTTCCACAGAATGAGCAGCTCCTGGTCTTGCACAGAAGCAATCTGAAATGAAGAGGAATGTTCACAAGAGAGAGAGATGTTGATAGCGAACACTCCTTTGTGTGTGCCAATGTTGATTGCCTCCATCGCATGTTTCTGTTCTCGGGCAGATGCTTGTTCTCTCTGGAAGTTCTCGAGGTCTTCCTCTCTCAGTGTAAGACTCTTGTGACTATCCCATTCACCGATGCAATCCAACTTGCCAGGTTGTTCAGCCTCTGGGAAGCCCTGTGATCTTGGCCCAGCATTGTGATTGGAGGGGGAGGATTCACATGCAGTCTTCGACTCATAATAGTATTGTATCCCTGTGACCACACATCTGTGCCAAGGTTCCATTTCGTCATTGAACTCCTCAAACATGTCAGTCCATGATGCCAAATTGTTCTTGAGGTCAGAGGCCTGACACCATGGTTTCAGCAATGCCAAAATACATGCCAGAAAATAATCATGAACACTGTTGTCATCAGCATGGGGAAACCAGGGTCCAATCAGATGAGGCAATGTGTTGTGCTCGCTTGCATGACAGACATGACAGTGTGACTTCCACTTTGGATGCTGCTCTGAATAGTATGAATGCAGATGCACAGGCTGGCCACATTTGGGCACAGAAGGTGTGGGTGGGCAGGTCTGAGACTGTGTATAATGCTCCTCCCACATATCTGTGATGAATGCGAAAAGACAGAAGTCCTCCAACTCTGGCCCGCAAAAGACATAGTCCTGCATGTGCAAGCAAGGAAACAAAACACCAGCAGGGGTTGAGCCAAAGGTAATGATGTCATTGTCATCACTGGACCTATTGATGTTTTGACTGACTCTATGAATGTGGTCAGGATGGTGCCCAATGTCCAACAGCTCAATGAACTTACATGCCAGAGCTTGACATGCAAAGCTCAGGAAACATAGTTTTGACAGAGGAGAATAAAGCACCGGTGTACAAGGCAGCATAGTTGTGAGATGTGAAGTTGTTGCTGAAGCCCATGAGATATGACATCACCTGTGGTCCTGACAACTCTGTCTCTTGATTGATCACATTGATGCAGCAGTACAGTAGTAAGCAGTTGTGTTCTCACACATCATCATATTGAGGATTCTCATGGTGATATGGTAGTGTTGATGCCATCAACATGTGGCACCAGGTGCACATGCAAACACTAATGGTGAGAGGGCCAGAGCATGATCCAATGATGAATGCCCAGACATGAAATGGCAGGCTTGCATGGGAAATACTGTTCATGGTGGGAGGAATTTCATGATGAGGTGGGCTGTGGAGAGGAACAAACACATACTGACTTGCAGAGGGGGGGCCTCTCTCATCATGCATAAGGGGGGCTGACAATGCGACCTGCAATAAGACATGGAAATGTGAGAGCCCTGAACAGGGCATGGCTTTGCTCACCATCGACACATTGCCTCAAAGATCAAAGTCAGAAAGAGGCTCAGGCATCATTCATGCTGCAAGATGAGGGGTGCAGGTTGTGAGGTTGCCCATGGTGATACTTTGGATTGGCAGAGCAGTGGAGTACCATGCTGAGGCCCAAAATATGATAATCACAGCAGACCAAAAAAATGTTACTGATTTTGGGTTGGAGTGACCTTGTAAACAAGGTGACAGGTAAAATAACAGTCATTCAATGGCATAGGGGAGCAGTCACTGGCAGGGAGCAGCAATCTCTGCAGTGAAGTTGAAGTCAATGGCATTGGGTGGCCATTGAGTGGGAGTTGCCCACAAGTTCATGCCAGTTTGTTGCAACTAACACAGTAACTACTGTTGGGCTCTGTTGCACCACTCACAATGGCATGTCAACCATGAATTATTGCAATATTATTGCAATAAAAGTAGTATAGATGTTGCAATGGGTGCTGCAATGCATTGCAACAAAAGTAGTACTATATGAAATAAAGCCTTAAAACAGAAAGTGACTCTCACAACTTGGACTTGCCAAATCTAACACCTATGGCACTATGGCACCACACATGATACACAAGGTGCTGCAACACATTGCAACAAAAGTAGTATAGACATTGCAACAGGTGTTGCAACATGTGTAGTATAGATGGCAATAAGATTAGTATAATAATGCAACAGCAACACTACCCTATGGCACTATGGTGCTGCACACAATACACAGATACTCATGGTCACAGTCAATTCATGGTTACAAAGCAGTAAGATAGAAACTAAGATGTTTCAGAGCATAGGAGAGGGAGATACACTATAAGCATTGGCAACATCCAAGAAATGATGCATGACACCCATCAGAGAGAGCTTTGTCACCTGTTGCAATGGCACTAGCATGGCCCATCCACCAATTTGCATGCCACTCAAGAAACTGTAATGTATGTTGCTTTTCTTCAAATAGTAGCCTAACCTCCTCTTCCCAGCAGTGTGTGCATGTGTGTGCTTTGCACCACTCCACACAGATAGCTAATATGGAGTTAAGATTAGCACTAAAGTGAGGTTGATGAGGCTGCTAGAAGATGCTTACCCTCCTGAAAACCATCATCTGATTCCTTCTCTGTGGCATGATCACTGTACCCATATAACCACCAAATCCAAGAAACATGGCACCATCCCTCTCCAGGCTGGAGGTTGTAAGCATCTGTGAGTGCACTAATGTCCTTGTCTGCAAGTGGGCGAAGCTTGTCCCTCCACCCAACTTGTCCAACCAGGGGGGCAAGAATGGTTAATGCTCAATATGCTACATGATACCTTGTAGTAGCACTATTTATCTTGGTATCTCGGGCTTTGAGACAATTTTGTGTGCAGGTGTTGGCTCCTTGACCATGTAAAAAACAATCCTTGAATTTGAGCATGTATGCACAAGATTGAAGACCCTGGATGTCATTACACATACCATTATGGCTGGTTCCTTGTGCATATATGAAATAGAGAAACCATGGAGTCCCATTTCATTTGGCAATATCAGCTTGATGCATTTATGTGGCATGATAAACAGTGACTCAATACCAGTAACAAAGGATGAGTAGGGAAGGGGGGTTGAAAGCAAGTGAATGCACAACTGCTGTAATAAATACCTGACCTATAGTAACATGCTTTTCATCTAGCCTCAGAATTAAAGTTGAAGGAACATACATGTCAATCTTCAGGGTTAATCTTGACAATGGCAATGCGACAGGTGGTTGGACATCCTTGTTGGACATCCTTGGGGTTTGCAGTATGTTGATCTTCAGGATTAAAGTTAAAACTTATAAGGCAAAATCCTGGTGAAATGGCAGGTGATCAGACATCATTGATTCATCCTCAGGGTTTTTCAGTGATGCTTCTTTCCTAATCACTCACCTCTGAAGAAGTTTGTGTAACATGGAGCATGAGCATTCCCCAGACCATGGACTGTGGACTTTGGTGATGGTGAATTGCACACTGCACTTAGCATTTGGCACCTGAGGTTACATGATTTGAGGACTAATTGAAGCCTGGAGATGGCGCTTAGGTAGTGGACTGGTTATAAAATGAGAGAGCATGAGACTAGAATCACCTGCCATGCACTACAATGTCTTGGTGGGTAATCATAGGTGGGACCAAACCTGGCATTTACCATGGGTGGTGAGTCAGACTCTTCAACTGACTAATGCATACAGATAATGATGGAAAACTGCATCATTATAGTCCATATATCCTTTGTGGGAGGTCATCACCTCCACTCCCTATTGCCATTGAGTGTACTTCCATGGACAAGGCAAAACTTGTCATGCAAACATTGGATAGCATCTTACAACCAATACTACCTGAACTGACCACCCATGACTTGGTCACCTTCCTCAACAAGTTGCCAGCAGTTTGAGACCTCCTCAAAGACACAGGTGATAGTTTCTATGCAGTTGTTGTTGGAAACCCCCCTGGTGTTCATTGCACTGAGTAAGTGTCTCATACTACAAATTCTCCCCAACTAATCACAATCCTATACTAGAGAAGGAGCCACTCATGCAGGGAGCTCATTTCATTGGGCAAAATGGAAATGGACTGACACACTTCATGAGGCCTTAGTGTATATGGTGGTGAAGGGCATTGAGGATCAACTACCATGAGTGGTGACAGTAGACAAAGTAGCTGAATCCACCAGTTAGTGTCATATACCATTCTCCCTGCTGATGTTGTGCACTTACCATGAATAGGCCTTCAAGATGCTGATGTTGTAGGCCTTCAAGACACTGATGTTGTGGTCCAACTTCTCACTTTGACCTCAGCTCTGCCTCTGATTTGGTGTGATTCTGGATCTCATACAAGCCCAATTATATATGCACATGTACAGAGTCTTAGGGGGATCACAGAAAGTTGCCACCACTACTCTGAAAATACAGCTACCTATATTCATGCCCAGGTGCTTGGTGCTCATGCAGCACAATATCTCACTGCTCATGGCTATATGTGTGAGGCTATTGACACTATTATATGTGCACATAATGGTGCATTAAGTGACCATGTATTTGCTCTTTGACTTTTGCAACATGGCCTTGCCATGGTGGAGGCTTTGTATTTGTGGCATTTGATTCAGTTACAGTGATTTGTCTTGTCCTGACTTTTGCTTGAACATTATTAGTTGTATACACAAATTAACAACTGATTTTTGCCTAAACATGTGCATGACTCTGCAAAATCTAACTATCAGACTGGGAATATGAAACAAAACAGCATGAAACACATGGGTATAAAGTCCTGAGACATTCTGGAAGGCGCTGTCTAGTGTCTGAATTCTTCATGCTACAGAATGTCAGGAGACTAAAGGGTATACATGCAAATGCACTAATAGGTATGAAGCAAATACATGATTAGGATTAGTTGTTTGTGTGTATGGTTATCTGCTGTAATAGGCATATGTATTAAATCTCCTATCATGACAACATGCTCTTACTACTCTGACAACTTCAACATGGGGTGGATAGTCTTGGGACTTTCTGGGAGGTGCTGTCTAGTGTCTGAATTCTTCATGCTACAGAATATCTGGAGACTGAAGGGTATACATGCAAATGTGCTAATAGGTATGAAGCAAATACACAATTAGGATTAGTCATTTGTGTGTATATGGTTATCTGCTGTAATAGGGATATGTAGTAAATCTCCTATCATGGTGACATGCTCTCATTACTCTGACAACTTCAACATGGGGCAGCCAAAATTATACAAAACACAAGATCAAAAGGTTTTGGCTGCTCAGGCTTATCAAATGAAATACTATCAGAGGTATCAAATCTATTTCTCTTTATTCTGAAGGACACTTCTCAGCTCAGGGCTGTTGTTCATCCTCAGCCATAGAGACAAAATAAACCTCAAGCTCAAGGCAAAATGAGGCAGAGCCAAGAGTTCTTTCCAGTCAGAGGAGACTTCTTTGTACAATTGGGTTTCTAACTAGTTGTTACAGAAAGTTACTTACTCTTATGAGTCTAGGGTAATCCATTTGGACACAGAACCATCCCCTGAACTGCTGTGTGCACTCACTCCACTCCTCATATATTGTAATCCAACACCCTTCAGTGGTCCCAGTGAACGATGGGACACCGAACCATCCCCTGAACTGTTGTGTGCACTCACTCCACTCCCCATATCCTATAACCTGACACCCTTTGGTGATCCTAGTGAATGACAGGACACAGAATTGTCTCCTAAGCTGCCATGCACACTCACTCCACTCCCCATATCCTGTAACCTGAGACCCTTCAGCAATCCTAAGGAACAACAAGGATTTGGGCCCAGGCAGGTCAGAGGTACTTGCCTGGAACAGTTTCATGCCTCATCGCACCCTGATAGGCAGTTTCATGTCAATTCTTCATCATGCTCTGGGCCAGATTCCATTGATCAGATCAACCACTCACTGAAGGCAATAATAGGGAACTCCTGTCACTCATTTATGGACAACCTATGCCAAAACTATGTCAATAGTGGAGATTATTCAAAAATTTGGGCTGTTCTGTCCAAGGTGGATGGCTTGGAGTCATGAGTGCACAGGTTGAAATGGCAACACTGGGACAACCTGAATGATCCTACCAAGGAAACATATGATTGTATTCACTTAGTATCATGAATTCTGGAGGACCTCTTGATGAATGCTATGGAAGGTGCAGATGTAGCTGGGATGCATACAAGAGGCATTTTATTGTTCCAGAACTACCCACTAGACACTATGTAGTACTACAGAATGAAGTGGTTCTCTCACTATCCAAATGTGCTGACCCTGCACTTGCCACAGTTTCAAGAACAATGACTTGTGGTATTTGATAATTGAAGATCTCCAATTTATCTGAATCACCATCACTGTCTTCACTCTTGTGCTTTTCTCCTACATGCCAGTTGCATAGTCACTCAGTGGCCATTCTGTGAATCTGATGCATTCTGTAGTGGCTGAGATCTGTACATGTGATACATGGATGCATTGTACAAAGACATGTCAATGTGCTATGTGAGCATGAAGATGGATTACTGTCATTGCCTTCACTCTCACTTGGTGGCTATTCCATGAATCCGAGACTTTCTGCAGTCACTGAGATCTGTAACATACATGGCAGTGCAAGTCAGATGGCCACAGGTTGAACCCACCCCTTTTAACTGTGATTTCCAAGTCAGATAAATGTGAATCAAATGCTCTTGTAGCTACTGGATTGCCATGACTGGCATGAGTGTAATACTAGGACTTGTATTTAGGCATAACTTGATAGCACAAGCTGATAGATGTCCAATGAAGAAAATCAAGTTCACCTTGGGTTTGAATCCTGGACAACCCAGGTACGGCCTCCCAGATGGAGTATCCTAATACTGATAGTGACCTATGTATGTCATGCCATCTCACACAGATAGTGTGTACATCCCATCCACTGTTCAACTCAGAGATCAAACCTGCACTGTCTGGATTTCATCCAGCAATCATCTGCACATCACCCAGGCTGCATCCAGCAAGGAGGCTGCCAAACACCCTTGTGTGTATCAGTGGTGCATATGTACATCTAATCTACTTTTCGACTTGGAGATTGAACCTGCATTATCTGACATTCATCCAGCAGTCATCCAGACATCATCCACAGTATATCCTGCAAGACAGCTGACAAACATCAGTGCATACACCTGTTGGGCTTTGGCACCAGGATCTGTGTACCATAGATTGGGTAAGCATCGCTTATCATGATTACTACATCTCTGGGCCCACAACAACTTGACAGGCCCCTCCTGATCACAATATTATTGGCACCTACCTACACTTAAGTGTGTATACAATTACTGCTGATTGTCAATTACTTGTGCCTAATACATTCAGTCACAGCCATACTGCCTACCCCACAGTAACCATTGACATTCATTGTGGGACAGTAAGCAAGCTTATCTACTGTAGATCTGACTCTCAGGTCATCAGCAGTCACTTGATCTTGAGTGTTCCAGGGGAAGTATTATTGATGGTTGAACACTCATTTCCTAGTGCTGAGACAGCAGAATGTAGGTCATCACAGTGTCCCCTGTATTTTTGTGCTGAATTCTTTTCAAAGGGTGGAGGCAAGTTGGAAAAAATGGATGGACATGCTTGGCATGCTGGGACAACAAAGTCCACTCAAGAGACCATGCAAGGAGGCATGAAAAAACACAGACACATTTGAGCTCTGTTCAGTATCATTGTTCTAAGCACCAGGGAGCTTTTGATGCAGGGGGCTGTGTACCAGGTGATGGTGAAAAGTTCCCCAGTACCCATGATCAATCCATGCATGGTATTGGCCTTATTCTTGAGGAGATATCTGTCCCTAATGTGGAGGATGGCTTTGGGGAATACATTGGTGCAGACTTTGGTGAGGGGGGGGTTCAGTTTCAGGGGTCTCTTCTTGAGAAGAGCCATGCCCAAATTGCAGCAGCTCTTTCTAGCTTACTTGATGAGGATAAATTATCAGATGAAGAGGGACCAGGGGAGCAAGATGGGGAGACACTGGATAGTGAATCAGAGGTGAATATGTTTATGGGGACTGGAAATGGTATGGGTTACTACTGCTAATGTCAAATTTGTGATTTTTGACCTGAATTTTAGAAGGGGATACTGGAATGAAATCTGATGGATGGATGACTACTTCTGAGGGAAATGAGTGGTTTCCATGGCCAAACAAATTGGTATGCAGCTATTAACAGAGAGGACTGACATTCACTAATAATACTCCAGTCTTGTACAATAGATATCTTGATGCACATCCCTTGCTCTGTCTTCTCACAGTGTCAACTTGATCTCTTGATGTGGCTACTACACATCAATGGCATTCAAGATGTACCATCTGTTAGAACAATGAAGACTCTTGAAGATGACCTTCAAAAAATCTGTGGTATTGAAACTTTGCCTTTCACTGGTGCTTTTGGGCACCAACATTATATGAATTCATTTTCAGACATTATCAGGCAGGTTGGTGGTTCATTGCCATAACTGACAAATACTGATTATGATAATATAGGAGATGGCTAACCCACATATTCAACCACAACTTCACTTCTACCCAGAAAACTCAGGGGGACAGTTGAATGAGGCATACCAGGCCAGAAGATGGTTAAAAGAAATAGATCCAACATAGCTGACTCCTATGATTTGCCTTCATGGTCAAGATTTTTTCATATTTGAGCCAGCCCTTTTGTCAAATGGGCAGGTTTGCATGCCTATAAGGTGGTTTAAATGTGGAGGGCTTTTTTTTGCCAAGGCATGGTCTCTTCATGCTGTTGTTAATGACACAGGAAGTGGTTGGATAGTTGAGGGGCACACAGAGATTGAAATCTCAGAAAGAAACTTACTGGTATCATTCAAGAATTGGAATATCGGTCAATCAACATCTGTTCTCCCTCCTGCACACAATATCTTAGGTATGTTTCTTTTACTACTACATTTGTCCTACTCAAAACAACTAGGAATTGAAAATAGTCATCAGGCTGGACTGTTGTTGGAACCATGGACACTCATAAACCCACATGAGGGAAATCATTGGCATGTGCTTGCAAATGGAGCTTATGTCTATGGTTTTCCAATCTGGCTTCACTGTGATGATACTTCAGGGAATGTATCAAAATGTTGGAACAAGCACCATTCATTCCTGTTCACACCAGCTGGCTTGCCACATGCTGCAGTGCATCAGGAATACAATGTTCACTTCCTATGCACATCTAATGTTGCACCACCCCTTGAAATGTTGGATGGTTTTGTAAATCAGCTTGAGTAATTTTATGTTATTTTTGGTATTCACTCTGATTTATACATATTTTCTAGGGCTGCTCAAGAGACAGGTGTATGGGCATGGGATTGTGTACACAAGGAGCAAGTGTTAATGATTCCCTCTGTCTTAGCCCTGTTGGGGGACAATCCAATGCAAAGTGAGCTTGCCTGTCATGTAGGGTTGAGGGGAAAATACTTCTATCATGTTTGCAATGTCAAAGGCCATGACACTCAAGACTTGGACACAAATGCTAATGATGACACACTGGAGCAGAGTGATGGAGGACAGAGTGATGGTCAGAGGTCAGTCAGGAGTGCAGGGGGGGAGTCAGTTAGTGGTAGAAAGAAGGGAAAAGGGAAAGAGACAATGAGTGGTATGGTTTCTCAAATTAAGTGATTTCTGAAGGTATGGGCACATATGACTGTCTAGGCAACTACTTAAAATTTTAACCAAGATTGGTGAACCTCACCAGTGAGAGCAGTCAATAATTGAGCTCAAATCAATGTTTACAATGGCATCTACCATAGGGAATAATACCAAAATCAAGGAGAAGATGACATCAACTGGATTGAAAGACACATATCTTGAATACTTTATCAATGGGATTGCAGCATCATGTAAGAGGCAGCAAGGAAGCAGTTCAAAGCAGGAGGCACTGGATGTGTTCATCAAGGGACTTCCTGAGAATGTGTATAGCCCAGTGTGGCACATCAAAGGTGAATGGCTTGACATGTGACACAAAGAAAAAAATCCTCACAACCCCATAGGACTTAATCCTCATGCAGACACTCCTGTGGAGGTGCTGCACACTGTTCTTTTAGGATTTGTCAAGTATTTCTGGAGAGATGTGGTGAACATCAGGGTTGGCAAGGACAAAATAAAGTGTGAACTTCTTGAAGCTCACCTGTCTTCATTTGATACAACAGGGCTAGGGATACCACCCCTGTCTGGTCACACCCTTGTCCAGTATGCTGGATCATTGGTGGGCTGTGACTTTCATGCAATAGCACAGGCTGCACAATTTGTTCTCCATGGCCTTGTTCCACAAGAATGCTATGAGGCCTGAGTAGCATTATCAAAAATGATCCCCCTCATTTGGAAACCAGAAATTGAAGATGTTGATTGTCATGGTTGTGCATTCATCCTGAGTCCTCACTCACTCTGCACCCCTTTCTGCCAGTCATTCACTCAATCTGCACCAACTCCGCCCAACTTCTGTCAGTTACAAGCCATCTTTGCTCCAGCTGCTGTCAGACTTGTACTGCTCTCCTACCAGACCAAACAGACCATTCTCTGAGGAGTCATATGACCACCTTTGGACTCCTCCCTGACAGCTCACAGTCAGGTACTCTGCAGTGCACACACCACATGGTCCAGTGCCTGGACTGTTTCCTTTTCTGGATGTTCTATGTTACCTGTGTGTATGTCCTCTGTCTGCCCTTCATTTGTCATCTAGGAAGTTTTACTTGAAAATTGCTGGGTCTCTGTATGTCAGTTCCAATTCCACTTACTGTACCTCCATGGTAGTATAAAAGCATGTATCATACTCCATCATTCCTCAGTACAAATATTGACTTAGTTCTACTCCCTCTGTCTCCATCTTCTGCCTGTTGGAGTTACCTCTGACTGTCCATCTGTACTCCCCCTCTGAAATATGAGGGCTGAGATTGTGCAAGGGGGTAGTGCACAAGCTAAACCTGATGCCCTCACTTCACTCCACCCTTACCTCAGCAGATTTTGTTCCTGCCAACACTCTGCCAGTTGGAGTTCTGCTCTTTCTGTTGGACTTGCTTCTGAACCTCTCCCTGGACCTCAACTAGTGTCAGAGTTGGTCAGAGTAGACCTGGACTTGACATTGATGCTCACTTGGTAAGTGAATAGAACTTCCCCTTTTGTTCAAGACTTATTTCATGTGCCAGACACAACTTGAAATTGCAATTCAAGAATTTCTTGCTCACACTGCATGCTGGACACCTTTCTGGTTCAACAAACCCAAATTTCATATATTGCTCCACCTTCCAGAGCATATCCATTGCTTTGGTCCTGCTGCCTTGTTTGCCACTGAAGGATTTGAGTCATTCAATGCAGTCATCCATGCCAAAAGTGTTCACTCAAACTGACAATCTCCATCACATGACATTGCAAAGGCATTTGCTCATGGAAACCACATTTGTCACATTCTCAGTGGTGCTCCATTACATATCCATGCAAATCACCCCAACCTTGGAGTTCAAATAAAGAAGCTGATTGAGAAGCCACCTCTAGATGCCCTGAATGCTGGAGATGCTGGAGTTTGGTGGCCTGCAGGCACAGCCCTGCTGACACTTGTTAGTAAACCCAATATTATCACAGATTATCTGGGTATGGATAGCTCCTCTCTGTCAAAGCCAGGATCTTGTGTAAAGGACAACCTGCCCTGGTGTCCATACCATGAAACCAGGACTGGCCAACAATTCCCCACAGCTCTCTCTTCCCTTTCCCAGGAAATACTCCATGACAATAATTTTCATACATGCAGGTCTATGATCTTGATGAATGGGGACAGATGCATTCCAGGCCAATGGGTTCTCATTCACCAACAGAATGGTCAGCAACCTCTGGTTGCACAGGTGAAGGAGATTATTCAAAGGTGAGGGTCAACTGCAGAGATGACATCTTCCCCAGATGCCATTTTGCTTCAGTCAGGAAAAATACAGGGGTCCACCAGACCTTATCAGATGCCATTGATGCAGTATGATGATACCAATATGCTTCTCCCCATTGAGGTAAGTTTACTACATTTATCCATTCATGATACTTAGTTCAAGTAGCAGTTACTGTGCTCAGTCAACCTTCAGCATTGTTGTGATATCCACAATTGTGCTGCAGCTCACCAGGGAACATCCAATACCTCCCCCAGTATTGTTCACAAGGGAAACCCAAATGATTTTGTGCTAAACACCACAAAAATGCATGATGCCAAGCACATTCTGCACCTAGTTTGTGAACCCCTAACTCCACTCAGCACAGATCATGCAATTATGGAGGGTTATGCTTGTGAGATAGACAATAAAAAATCTATACAATACCCAAACAATATCCCCTAACCTCAGGCAAGCTCATCAGGGCATTCTATTAGGCTGATTAAATAGTAGATGCTACCATTATGCTCCAAGTCTAATAGATGTGTTGTTTGTATTACTGGTCATGTGTTCCTTAGTCAGCATATCACTGTGAGTTGTGCTGTGATACACCTTTGCAAAACCAGTGCAGGGGCCTCATTCTTGGATGTGGTGTGCAAACCATCATGTCTTGTTACACCTGTGTACAGCCTTTTGATGATCCTGCCAGTCCATGTTGGAAACATGTGGATGAACATGTGGACACCTATCTCAGTTCCAATGCACATAAAAACTCACTCAGCTGCCCTCCATGGTTCCCCCAGTCTGTCAACTCACTCCACTCATTTCTACTACTGTACCCAAGACCCTCAATGTCTTTCAATTTTTCTAATATTGGGAACTCTCCATCTACTCAGTCTAGTAGTCATTCATTTGCTACTCCATCCACCACCCCACACTTCCCCCCTGCTCAAAACAATCCCAATATTGATCCCACCCTTCTGGATGAAGATGTCATCCCAGCTCACTTTATTGATGCCCTCACCAATCAGTTTAGTTTTGGTGATTCCAAGCAGGACCTACAGTGTAACCTCCATGGCTTTGCAAAGGCAGGTAACTCTTTGTGACAGAATTGTAATACTAATACATTGGCAGATGGGGCATGGCCTCCAGAAAGCAGATATTGCTACACATTCATACTTACTTGCAGCCATTTTCAGCTTAATCAAGGAAAACTGGGCAATGACCAACATGCACCACAATACACAACAGCTTCTCACAGACCTGCAAATTCAACTTGAAAACACATTTACACTATCACACAAACAGAAGGTTAGTTTATTTAGCACACAAATTCAGCCATTCATCTGTTTCTTTCTTGTAGGCTAATGTCTGTATTGTTGCTGGAGACATAATTTTTGAGGCTAGCCAGATCACATTTATGACAATCCACTTTGACATTGAGGTTCACAACCATATATACTGATTCTAAGTCACTCTAATTCCACCAGTCAAGGGTCCAGCAATCCCAAAAAGAATTATGGTTCACAAATATCTATGGTAACCCAGCATGAGAGAAAATCCTAATGGCATATATCAAGCAGCAATGCTCAAGCATTTGTAATTCATTCTGAGAGCTGGTATGTCTCATTTTCTGTTTCCAACTCCATCCTGATTGATTCATTTGTCATAGTTGTGAGATAGTGTCATCAGAGACAGAACATGCACACTCTCTGATTTTGTGTTTGAGAGTGTGCAGTGGTACAAAATTAGTGGCCCCACTTTGGGCCTCACACCAGCATGCACTGCTCAACTTGCTATACTTGTAAGTGGTACATACCAATTACAATTTTTGTATTAATTTTGTGTGTTAGCACCATTTTGCTTTCCTGAGCTCCTTGACCATGAGGAAGATGTTGAGGATGATTCACCACCAACAGAAGATGACTCAGGCTCATGGCACCACTCTGCCCAAGAGCCTCAAAGGAAAAAGCAAAAGTGTGGTGGCCATGTCCCCAGGGGAGAGGATTTCTGGTCACAAGTGGAAAAATGGTTTGATGCACACAGAAAGCAATGGGGTGATTCATGGACCACACCCAACTGGAACAGGTGAGAATACGAGCCATCATACACACAGCAGTCATGCTAACACCTGCCTATGCTCTAGCTACATCTCAGAAACAATTGCCAAGGATGAAGATCACTACAAGGTCCATGTCATTCACAACCCATTCATGGAAGATGTGCACACAGATGACAGGTTTTTCACTGGGCCCATCACTTCAGCTGGTCTTGGGGCTGCTGAGGATCTCCTTCAAGAAATGGTTTGATGGTTTACATCCATACTGTACCCCATTCAATCTCCTGTCATCCATAGCACAACACTCCATACATTTTAGCACTGTATGATTCAAGGATGTTGTCTACATTGAGCATTACACCCACTTTCATTATCCATCACCCAACATTTGAGCATCCAACTCCACATGTGTGATCACAGCTGTTGGAGTGTGCATCCTTGATCTCCTCCCCAGCATGTACTCTGCTTGGCATGATGTCCAGTTGAGAGTTGTCACTGTTTGTCAGCTTGTTGTGTGATGCATGGTCCTCATACCATAATGCATTCATATGTGATCTGTAGTAGCAGCCAAATGAGTGAATAGACAACAAATTCATGCATTACAACCTGAGGCAGTTGCATAATAATCTGTGGGCCAACTATTCTTCAACCCATGGCTCAGCTACATTGAAACATAATATTTGCCAAGCTCACCCATCCAATGTCACAGAGCAAACCTTGTATTCTACTTCAACCAGCAATGACAACCAGCAACAACCAAAATTTGGTGAGCAGAGTCCATTGTAACCACCAGACAGAATTCCCTTTTTAACTGCATTCTCAATTATAGAATACACTAATTGCATCCACCTATGGTTAACCAGGAGCCAACAGTTTTGCATGCTGGTGTAAATGTGCATATTTTATGCCATAGTGCATGGGTATTGGATCACATGACCACAATCCCAGTAATGCAGCTGGCCATCCAAGACAGCCGACTGTGGGCCACCTTGCCCAGTGTCATTATGCTACAATACAGTACAATTAAATACTAGAATACATGCAATATGTCCAGCCATCCAAGACAGCCATACAGTGTGTGGGGATGCAGTCACATGACCATCATGCTTGTGTTCCGTGTGGCTGTCCAAGACGGCCAGATGCGTGTAACGCTTGCGCGTGAATATATTTCCTTTTGAGGGTGACGCGCGCACCTGTGTGCATCGGGCCGTCCTGGACGGCCATCTCTTGGGCCACTCTGCCCAGTGTTGTTATGCTACAACACAGTACCATGATATTACTATATTAGTAGTTTATTATTATCACTGGCTGAGATGCAATAGTAGTATTAATCTATAGTGGCACTCAAGGTGGTGCTGGAAGTGCTCTGGAATTGTTCTGGAATGGCATCTGCAACTGGCATTGGCCTTGCAGAGTTTGAAAAGTTATGTCTCCTCTATGACCACACATTTGGCACTCTGCTCACCTGCAAGCAATCTCAGGTCAGCCCATGGCATCTTCAAGTGAACAAGCCCATCAAGGAGGATCTGACAGACCCACCAGGAATTCAGGCTCTGGTCATGGATCGAGCAGTAGATCTACTCGTGGTGGAACCAAGGGCAAGAACCTGGCTTCATCCAGCCAGTGGGCTGTCACCACTACTGGTGATGCATCTACTACAGAAGGCCTTCAGCTGAAGAACATCAACTGGGATGTTCCTCGTACTGATATACTCATCAACTGGTTGCTCACCCATCCTGCCAACCAGAGAATCCTTTTTAGTGATAAGATCACAACCATCTCACCACCTTCACCTGACAAGGGGCCAGTGGGCCATAACAAGAAAGAAGTTCAAGCAATTATCACTGAAGTCATATTCAAGAATGATCCCTACTACAAGGACATGTACATGGTGGGCACTGCTAAGTTCCAAGTTAGTGTAGGCAACTGCATCACTACATCAGGCTCCTCTTTATATTTTATCTGTGATTTTTTAATGATCATTTAGGCTGAAGGGATCATATCGCAAGTGCCATGCACACTTTAAACAATCAGGGGAAGGCATTATGCCTGGTCACAAAAGCTACACAAATCTCCATCGTAAGTTATCAATCAATCTAGTGGGATTACAGTCGCTGATGTGTATGATTACAGAAGCTGTTCTCAACACTTTACCCTGGTATGATGATCTGCATTTCATCTGGCAGGGCAACCCCTCCTTTGACTCTGACCTGATTAATTCTGAGCCAGACAAAAATTGTGCTGAAGATTTTTTAGCCATTGTCCAAAATAAATCATCCAGTACACAGAAGACTTCAGACTTGGGAGTGGGGTTACCTGTGACTCTGGCAGATGAAGGTACCCCTTTGAATACTGGGACCAAGGAAATGTGTGGCAATTGAGATCTGGAGGATGGTGAAGTCAATGAGAGGATGTCTCATGTTGGTGATCTAGTTGTGAACAAGGGGGATGAATTTGCTGATAGTATCTTTGATCTGGAAGGCACAGACCCTGGCTTTGGAGATGGAGAGGATGTTAACATGGACTCGGTGTTGGTTCACAGTGATCAGGTGTGTTTTTATTGGGACATCACTGATGGATCATTGTTAATGAATCAGCAGTTATATCCTCAGCCATTGACTCCTGAAGTGCAGTCTCAATTTTCCCTCCCTTGCAAGTCTCACACACCTTTCTTGGATAATCACTCTGCATTCCACCAATTGTCATACATTTGTCCCCCCACTTCCACTGGAAGTGTCATTTCCTCTGGGTCATCATCCTCTAGCTCTTCCTGAAAGGGGAAGGCTGTCACGAGGACCCTGTGGTCCTCATCATCCAAGACAACATCAACAGAGGCAAGTTCTCTCCCAGTTGCTCACAACAAGTCTCAACTTCAAAGCCAGGTCATCAACTTGAGTCAAAGAGGCCAAGTCAATACTAGCATCCTCATCTTCTGGTAAGACTGCACAGTACCTGGCAAAGATGCAGTATATGCTGAAGGATCAGGAGCTCAAGTTGAGGAAGGAGTGGCTCAGGATGCAGTGGAAAGATGTGGAGGATAAGCATCAAAGGGAGCAGGAGCTCCAGAAGCTCAATATTGAGCTGAAGAATGCCAAAGAAAACACCTTCATGAGGGAGGCCAAAACCCTTCGACTCAAGATTCAACTCACAGAGTTCATGAAGAGTGGCAGCAGCTCTGGCTTAATGTCTTCCAACCCCACTGCTTAGGCCAGCCACCCTTTGCAATCACATCCATTTCTTTTTTTAATCCATTGTCACATCTCAGCTCAGTGTCACACACCAAAGGTGTTTGGTGAGGTGGACATGGATACAGCTGATGAACAGAGATGAAGACCATAGCCCTAATGCAAAGAAGGACAGCCAGAAATGTTGGAAGTCATCCCTCGCACAAGAACAAGTCATCAGTGCCAGAGAAAAAGAAAGGGAGCAAGTTAAGCGCTGGCTAAAATTCTTAAGTGCCCATGTATGGCATTCCAGTTTTTGACATATCTCTGCCATTTCTGCAGATACAGAGACCATTCCCACACTTGCTTGTAGTGCTCAGCCACGTGATCTTACCTTCCAAAATTGGAAAGGATTTGTGCACTCCACACATTTCTACAGCACTCCCTCCAAAAGACACTCATTTCACTTGTCCCCTTTGCTAGGGACCATGGCTATGTATATTTTACCAGGGATTCCTACTAGCTTCCATCCTGAAGCATCCCAGTACATGCCATCCTTGTCTGCCCCCTCTCAGCCCATCCAGCTTGGACAGCATGTTCTTTTTGTCAGTATGACCTCCAGGAGGACATTCTTTGGTTGCCTCAGGTCTGTCATTTGGTTAGAAAGGTCTTATGTGGTTGTTTTGGTTTTGGTTGGTTTTCACCACTGAACCACACTTTGACTCATGTCAGCTTGTCATCTTCTTTGTTGTACTTGTGTCTCAGTCCCAGTGCATTGCATGATCATTAAGTACACACTCACCCCATACTGTATTACTTCTCCATCTCCCCCATACTCACCCCAACACTGTATCAAGATGCAATGTAGGGTACATTTCATTTGCAGAATGCATGTGGTATCATAAGTGCCTTCTCCAAGGTCAGTCATAAAGCACCTGGATCCTGTGAAGACCACTTATGCACCCTCATTGTCAATGGGTGGGACTTAGCTGATTCCTACAGCATCACTAGCTACACTCCTGCAACTTTATATGGCGACCATTTTGGTCTGCTTATACTAGGTACATTCATGCCCCAGATATTGGAACAGCTCATCTAACAGCCTCATTCAAAATCACTGACCTGGTGTTCCCACAGCCTCTCCTACCATGACCATGTCACCATCCTGTTGGCCCAACCCCTCCTCCACTGCCCACTAACTTGAGGGCTTGACAATGCCAACCATCTCCTCCTCAAAACAGATCACCATGTTATGCAAGATGATGCAACACATTACCCAGTAAACTGCGACCTTAACATCCCTCTCATTCCAGATTTTCAAGCACAGCTCATGGAGACTCTGAAATTGACCCTTCAAGGCAGCAATTGCATGCTCAACATGGATGCAGACCTTTCAATGTGATTAGCATGCATACCAATACAAGGTAAGTATCACCTTAGAAAGATATTTGTTATATAAATTCTGATTGGAAGATAGCCACCCACCCTTGGGTTTTTTAAAAGGAGCAGTGCACCATTCCTCCATGGGATATGTGCTATCCACCCAGGTCCAGTGATCTTCAGGGATAAGGTCTCCTGGTCATGATGCAATGTGAGTACCTTGAAACACCCATGCATCATGGATGCTTCCAGGGTGACCAAGCCCATAGTCAACCATGAGAAGGTTGTGCAGCATGATAACAAGCTATGAGCAGCAAGTATTCCATTTTGTGTGCATTGGAATACACACCTGACAATTGAGCAAATACCTTGATTTTCTGTCATAGAAGCTCTCCCCAAATATTTGGGGCTTTTTGAAGAGCAGAATCAATGAGCCATCTGCAGCAAAGACTCCATTTCTCCATGCTGGACATGTCTGCAATTCAGTGAAAGTATGTGCTCTTTCCATATCCTCCAAGTTGTGAGGGGGAATATTGACAAATGTATTGTGCTCATCCAGTATTGTGACCATGACCCAATTGGTGAAATTGATCACCAATCCCACACTAACCCCAGCCCACTGGGCCACATCCTCTGGCAATGCCACATTCCCATAATGCCCCACATGGAAAAGGAAAGTTGCAAGTTGAATGGTGACTGGCAACTG